TGCAAACTTTACTGCCCAGAAAACGTTTGTATACTCCGGTGGAGGTCAACAGCCTCCAAAGCCGATTTCATCCACCCGCTAATTGACAGCCAGGTTCCCTCCCTCACGTGCGATGAGTTCTCTCTGAAGCCGAAATCTATAAGCATCTCTAGTCACCCAAAGCTTTCTCGGCTGCGGCTTTTCTAACCAATTCGATGACATCCGTCATCAATGGATTGCCGTCTTCCGGATAGATCTCTGATTCTTGGGTTTACGTTACCATAATTTCAATCCAAGTACCCCAATCACAACTGTTCTATTGTGCTGACCTCCGCAGTTCCAACATTAAAAACACCATTCTGAATGCTGGCAGTTACCATGGTTCCACATGATACTTCCCCCCGTTTTCATATAAACCGAACATATCTACCCTGGACGCCTTAACCACTTTAATTCATTTCAATAAAAAGTCATTAAACAACTCAGTCAAATTAGTCCGTTTTTCTTGACCATTCGTATACGTTTGATTATGTTTCTCGATCCTTGTTTTCAAACTTGAGTTCTTTGGCACTTCTAGACTGTTACTCCCTTGGCTTTCCGACTAGTTCACAGACAGGGTCGAGTGCACCAACTCGGACATGAGTGCATCACAACCTTTAGTTAATAAGTACGGTATTTTCGGGGTGCTGTTCTCTCGTTATATCTCTTTTCTGCTGTCATTAGTGACCTTTCGGTTCCATCACACATCCAAAATTACGCTGCCGATGTCGATTTGAGACTGACGACTTTCTCTCCTATTGGAATTTCAACTCGATTCCATCCTGAATTCAACAGCTTTCCAACCAATCTGGTGTTAGTCCTAACACATTCAGGTGTTCAGAGTGCTTGTTTAATCTTTTCAGCTGTATATCTACAGTGGATTTCGCAACCTTTACCTGTAACCCGGTGAACTCTGCAAAGTATTAGGGCGTCAATGTCGACAGTAATCTCTGAACTAAACGTATTCACAGATGTATGGAAAAACAGAGATGTTTATCTCTTCACACACTGAAACCCAGAAAATTCTGAATCTCACAATCAGTCTCATTCTTTATGGTTCGCCAGGGCTTTCTCCTGATTTGAATCTACTCCTTTCTTTTAGTATTCTAAGACCTCTTAAAGACAATAACATTCGTCGTGGTTTGGTGACAATCAGATGTGTATCATCTATTTCAGTCGATTCAATAACCACAAAACTTCTTAATGATGACGTCAAACAGTGTAATCAATTTGCCAGTGCGATCCTCGACGGCCTTTTTACCTTGACGTATGTTGTTGTGGTTCCCATTAGTCCACATTCTGCTCATTGCGGTATCTGCCATCTCGAAATTCCATTGATAAGAATTTCCTTCTACCCTATTTGGCACGATTCCTGACCAACAAGGAACAGGGCGTTATTGAATGACGTCGGAATTTGTGTACACAACGCAAGCATTAGCGACATTGTTCATGTTGCATGCTTTCTGAATTTGTATATTGTTTTCTCTGTTTGACGATCAAAGAACAATATTACCGAAATATAAGCATATAAATGTACAAACTTTATGCAAATACAAATACAAACAATTAAAGAAGGCTGAAGAACTCAATCACATTTTGATTTCGATTGACTTTTCTGGTTTATGGGTCCACAACAATAATAAGTGTCAGCCTCGAGTTCAGAATCAGGTTATGTTCGTGGTATAGCATTTCCAATTTTCCATCGTACATGATTCATCCACTATCTTACGGTCACATGCAACGCTAGATCTAGAAGTATGAGGGAGGTGCCTGAAAAAAACGGTACCACATTCAAACCAGATAATGCCTTTTGTTCATTTCTTGAATAAATTAATTTATAAATAGTATAGCATCGAAAAACACATTGGGAGCGTTATGAGTCGAAATAGTCGGTGAAATGGAACTGTTCAAGTATTGATATTCTTTTTCTCAAAAGCAACCGTAAACTGAGAGTCGTTCGAGGTAGAATGCTGCCGGTTATTTCGCTCAATAATCAGAATGATTCCAATCATCTAAAATTTCGATTCACTGGTATTGCAGTATGGTAAGTTGGTAACTGACAATGTGTCACAGACTCCGTTCAGTTCAGTTCGTACAATCATTAACCATACACTATCGTGCGCCGGTTTTGGTTGCTGTCTTTCGGCTGCCCATTTAGATGAAAATTACGAGAAAGACAGTAAAGGTTGAAAGTAGGATCAAAGAGAAAATTGAATGTGCATTGGACAAATTATACAGAGAAATTGAGAAGATGCAAGAACGCCACTGTTTACGACATCCAGCCATATCACCCAGTGTCTCTAACCATCGGGTACGATCATCCCGAGGTCCCCATCCAGGGAGCCTATAGGGACCTATATGACCCACACTCCCGGTCAGGGCTCTTAAGCCTCATGCCAGGTCTTAGCTTGGCCGACCTTAACTTTCTTCAACCCACTACCTGCCTCGGCGAACGTCGCTCGCCGTGGCAACCTATCTGGTGACTTGCGTAACTCATGGTCCAACCAACGAAATCTACGGAACTCGACTAATTGCTCCAGTGGGCGACCGCGGATACCCAGAACTCTGTGCCTGACCTCAGCATTGCTCACCCGACTGCTCCACCAGATTCGTGTAATACTGCGTAGACCACGGTGTTCAAACACTGACAGTCTATACTTGTCCTGCTTCCTCAATGGCCAAATTTCTGGGCCGTATAGCAGAACTCGCCGAACTGCTGCAGCATACACTCAACCCTTCACAGACAGCCGGATACCGCGACAGCGCCACAGATATCTCAACTTGGCAAATGCCAACCGATCCCTCTGTATGCGAGCTGACACTTCTCAGACTATTCACTTGCATATCATCATGCCCCCACTGGATCCACATTTTCTCCTTCTTGCCCTCATATTCCGCAATTTAGATCGCGCCAATGAAAGGGATCAGTGAAACGGCAATGCTGTGCAAAGAATGGTTAAGGAACATGCATCGTGTGAACGCGATCCAACTTTGTTGCATTCGATTGTGAGAATCTGGGATCAATCGTCGCCTCACCCCCGCGTTTCTCTGAATACAGATAATCTATTCTATAATCAAATCACTGCATGATTTATTACTTGTACCGTCTTGTAGTGTATGAATAACAGTGTGCATCGACTGGCAGCAACTATATGTCTCATTTGTTATTTCTTGACCCAAAGTTAAAGAACTACAGCAGCTGCCTCTGTATTCAGGTCCCTTAAACCTCCCTTTGAAAGGCCCTATTAAACTGACATTCTTTCTTCCCACAGGATTCTCCAAGTTTTCTGTGAGATTAAAGCCAGAAAACTCATAGTCCAAATCTGGTATCACCGTTTTTTGAAAGCAGTTGCGGAGCAGATGGTGAAAGATATAGGTTAGTCTGATTAAGATCAATACCCAAGAAAGGCTAGGCAAAGCATGATTCCAGTGCTTGTATTGCTAAAAGCCTTGAAGCATTTTCGTAGCATCGGTCCTTCAAGAGGTTGCAGGTACTGCTCCTTCGACTTTTCTTGATGATGCACACAGCGCCAATCCTCTCTATCGAGGAATGCCTAGTGAGCGCTTTTCCGTCTGTGTTCGGAGACCCGAAGTTTTAAGTGTTTTATCACCCATCAATTACGGCCTCAAATAACTACATGATTGGTTTTTGCACCACTCTCCTGTACTTGACATCAAGTGTGTTGACGTTTCCGTCAGCCAAAACGCTGTTTCCCGTTGTCCTCCTTCGTGAAATAGTTTCCTCATGTCTAATGAGAGATTCCCCGATAATGTCGCTTTCACCCATAGCCTTTCCTAGACTGGTCATGTTGAAATGGATTGCCCACACCCACCCCCAGACTATCTTACTCTGCCCACGGATTCATAAAACTATATTCGCTTACGAAGACCTGATATTGGACTCTGTGAATGCGTGCATTATTCAACTTTCGTTCCACTGCTTCCTAATATTTTTTCTGATTCATCTTTTTCTCTGTCTGCTTCAACATTCTTTTCAATATAGGGAAACTTCTAGGTCCTTTTTGGCTGCATTTAAACTCATGTGATAGGAAAATTCGGAAGGAACACACCTATCTGCATCATAAAATCATAAAATTTGTGTCTAAACCACCAGTGCATGCCTTATTCCAAAGTCTTTCTGCACACAAATCCACACGTGCACACAAAACCAGTGCCAGTGCGTAGATTGCACTTTGTTATTCGTACGACATTTACCTTCCTTAAGGAACTGTACCGGGGTTATATGTTCTCCTTCACTATAATTTGGAATTCATTTATTTTTATTCATCCAAGCACACATATCCACTACATAATCTCGTCAATCGCTGAGAACTCTCCATCCGTTTGCACAAAGTGTTCTTTCGTTTAACTGCTGTGACTGAATATTGATACACATTGGTGAGAAATTGCAGAAGACGCGGTGTAAGATATCAGTGTTTCGTGCACCATAATTAACTGATGCGAAAGCTCTTCCTGATATTTTGAATATTGAGTTGGAATTCTTTGACCACTAGCCCAGTTCTATGATAGGAATTTCATCAGCTATCTGACCTAGCGTGGGGTAATTAGAGCTTGGATATTTAGAAACCAATCGCTCTGTTGGTCATTCGCAAATGAGAAGCACCCGAGTGAGTAGTCTAGATTCGTTTGAGCATCTGACTGTTATATATATGATGTGAATTGTTAGCTGTTTAAACTGACTATGTATTGACTGGAACGTAGATGAGACACAGTAATTGTTGTACAATGCACAGTTCATAAGATATTTACGGTTAAACCCCATCTGTCAGTTATGAAACCACCCATCTCGTCATATAAACGAAAAGTAATGGTCACAGTGTTGCGCAAAGAAGACCTTTAAATCAGAAAATTTACACAAAAGAACTGTATCTTTGGAGTCGAAGAGATTCACATCACATTGAAACGGTAATTGTACACAGTCGAGATCGAAATGTCAACAACCAATGCTTTCGATATCCCGCTCACGGAATATGTGTTAACCTGCGAGCCACAGGAAGGTTTTCCATTTCTTCCTGTGACATGTAAATGATACGTGACTCTCGGGCTGTTGATGCAACGGAAACGAAACCAGAATGACGCTCCTCTCTAGCTTTTGCATAGACGTGATCCGATTCAGCCAGGGATTGACTGTGTTCATCGTAGTCACTATTGACAGATTCCCAGGAGTAAGCATCATCCGCATTCACGGCTGCCCGGATATAATCATTATATCCTGTCTCATCTCGATACGTCCAGTGAGGTCGGATTAAATTGATACTGGTCCCCAATTTTTCGGGTGGCACCTCGGTCTCAACCATACGTTGAGGATCATTCAAAACCTGACGGTAGATCTCCTCAATTCTTTTAGCATCTTCTGCATAAACACATTCATAACTTTCGTACGATCGTCTGTATGTCTTACTATCGATCACAAACAGGAGGAAGACACTTGCCAACGGAAAACAACGATGCACTTCCAGAATCTGACGGTAGGATAACCAGTGATCAAAATGATAACCACGAAAATGCACCCGGTCGACCAGGAAAAATGCGGCACACTTCCGTCGAACTGGTTGCAATGCTCGATCACTGCGTAGACGTTTTTCTCGATGTTTTGTCAGGAGTGCTTGTGCCACATCTTTGTTGAATGGTTGATCACCTTTTACGTAGCTTTTCCAAAGTGGATACAGCTCGAAACGACCCATCACAGCTTGCCCAGAGCTCGGATCGACTACTCTATCAATCGTTTGAGTATACTGTAGCTGTGGTTTGGAAATCACTTTGTTCCCCATGATAAAACGAGCAAGTCAAAAACACGGTACCGGAAGAGTGTGTGGAAGGTACAACGTGAAATGATACAATCGTCTTTTTACCTGACATTTCTATGCAGCTTTACGTGTGTTGTTTCGATGTATGCGCATGTTTGAAGATGTGCAAATCTCTGTGTAGTTATGCGTTCATGTTGTATATGTTTATGTGCACGTGCAAACGAAGCATCTAGGTATGTGCACATGTTGTGTGTTGATATGTCATATCTGTGTGTCTGGCTCAACAAATGTGCATCGGCTTGCTATTTTCAAAACTGTACGGATAACTGCCGTCTACTGGAATCACGTGATTAAAACCTTTTTTGCCAGTTCAAAGGAAGAAGTGGTTCTCTCGTCGAAATACTAACCTTGCATATGGGAATCTGGATTGTGCTGTATTGCTGAATCAGACGAAGACGAACATGGGAGTTGGTATATTAAGCGTGTTGATTCGTTTGTATCGAATTGGTCAAACTTATTGCACTTTGTTAAATGTATCTAGACCATCACGTTAACCGAGTTCAGTAGTCTTATGTACAGTAATGTGACTGCTCCTGCACATTCTGCAGATTTATGTTTCTGTAGTTTTCTGTGAGCAACTTCGGAAGAACCCCTGCTAAATAAGTGTTGGAACAAACAAATTTCTGCCGTATTTCCTCACAATATCACACACTGAATGCCTAATAAAAAATTCCATTCAAAAATACAGCATTAAGCATGTACGTTTGGTGAGTGTTGCGGGGATTCGTAGTCATCGTTCAAATGATGCATCAAATATACTTCGTCTTACCAATTTCTTTCACTACAAAGTGTTCCGTGTGGTTTCTTACCCTTACGGTCACACACTGGGAGTAAATTAACTGACTGGTTAAGGCATTCCCTATCACTACTAAAATTTATCCACAGTTCAGTCTATTGTTTGCCACTGACTACACTGCGTGTAAAGACCTCTGATACAAGTCATTCAACTGTTTTCACCAGAGCCTTGAGCCATAATTCAACATTAAGATAAGTGAATCTGCAGCCGCTTTGTAAATGACCTGGCAACTAGTCACTGTCCCACGCATCCGTTTTGTTGCGCATTGCATCTGTGTGACCACGCATGATTTGGAATCAATCAAAACAGCCGTTTGGTCTCCACTGTCAGTTATCAAGTCTGATTTGCGCTTAGCTTATCAAAGCAGGTTACATAGGTTGGATATTTCTTTTATGCCTCGAATACGCATGAAACCAAGCGTTTAAGGCAAATCCTAATGTTTATGAGGTATTTAACCAATACTGAATACTACTAAATTCATTCTGGCCTGTTATCTCGAAGGAGGTTTAAACGGGTTGGCTTGATTTACAATATTTGACAGTAAAGCAATTAACACTGAATCACGAAATTGGTGATGTTTTTCCGAAATTATTTCATTGAATCTAAATGGGTGCTCACTGTCGTTAAAAAAGATATAAATTTCAGGGTACAACGATGCACAGTAAAGTTAAAAAATCTGATTCAACACCAAAGTCGAGCCAAGGCATCATCGGGTTCGTTCTTTCAATACACTGTGGCCTCCCATCGGTTGAGCGCTATCGTCGTAGCATCGTAGTATTAATCGCAAGCTTATGGTTCAATAAATATGAATGATTTATTTCAGTGGGCAAAAGCCGATGCTACTTGACAATGACTGGGAGGTGGGGATTAGTGAACTGATAAGGGGCATGTATGAATGAACACTTTTGAAACGAAAAAACACTTCCATCGTAAATTTCACGTTCTGCCCAGACTGACAACAGACACAAGCCTCTCTTGCCTAGGCCTAAACAATAATACGGGAGAAAGAGAACACGACCGGCGAACAACAGTCAGTGTGTACTCGAGTAGCATGATGCGATGCCCAAATATAAGTAGGTAAACTGGGCGTACAGGAGCGACGTGGAGACGCACTAATCAAATCACGGGATTGACATTCCGATTGGTTGATCGGACGACAGCTGTCTGATTCGTTCTAGTCATCCAATCCTCAGTCGACTTGCTTTGGGTTTAGCGAGCGCGCTTGTGGTGTGACACTGACCGGTGAGCGGCTTGATGGGTTCTGTGAATTCCGTCTCAACGGGAAACGACCATGATAAGCAAAATCCATCTCCAATAATGCCTTAATTCCGATTTCTTCTACGTGAATCCCTGTCCCTGTGTCGAATTAAGCCTTGGTCAAGCATAGAGTTGATCAACTCATTAAATACTGTGAATTGAATTCGACACGAAAGTTCGGAATAACTAAACAGTTTTACAACATTTCCTTCAGGACAGTAAGGACACAGTCCTTGAAACAGATTCAACATATTTCAATTCTTTCACCTACCGGTTTTCCTATCTATCTTCCCTTATTCTGGAGTGTACTCTCTTCAGGTTTAACTACCTGTTAGCCACATAGAGAAGAAACAACTAAGAACAAACTTTCACATTTGATGAGGTACCATTATGAACTATTCACCACAGATTCCGAGTGAACACAAAAGGAATTGAGATGTTTGATTTTAAACATATCTCCTCGACAGGTTTGTAATCCATTCCCTATACGCACTTCTCCGGATAAGGTGACTAACCCTAGAAATTTTCAGTATGCAACATATAGTTCTCAAACGGTGCAAAATGATGCAAATTGACTAGCGCGTTAGAAACCCCAATGGGACTTAGGTCAACCGAGATAAGCGATGGGCTTCGGTGGACAAGCGGTGTAGTTCACTATCATCACATCTTTATCATCCTATGACAACATTATGGGTGTATCTTTCTCCGCTTTCAAAAGAATTATCAAAGCCCGTTCAAGTGTGCGAGAAGCTATGTGGTGAATCAAGCAGTTTGTTTACTCATAACATGGACACATGTAGCCGATCTACGGGGCTCGGACAAGTAAGCCGTCAGGCACGAACGCTGAGTTAAGCTAGAAAACGGTTAGGCGGTTGAGCCGGAAACGAATCAATCACCACAGACCCTTCAATACTGAACTTTGATTTCCCGAGGCAAAGCGACTCGGTCAAAGAGAGATTTTGCTTGAGTTAAGTGAGTACGTGTGTAGTAAGGTCACCGTCACCCAACCACTCAAGTAGTCAACCAATCAATCTTTTGATCCGCTGTAATTAATCACGAATTGAAAGTTTATTCAGTGATAGTACCCACCTTCAGTTCATGTACTTCGGCAAAGGGTTTACCAGAAGTGTGGACTTCCAGTTGACATTTTCAATCCTAGTTTGAGTTGAACTTTTTGGTTATTTCAAAGGTAAATTCGTCTTGTAAATAGCAAACGATGCGTGAACTGAAAAGCTAGGGAGCGCTGGACAGCTGTTTTGACCTGATTGGGTCTCATAAACAGTGCGAATCTATCGATCTAAGTAGGGATCGAACCCGGGACTTCATGGGTAGAACGCAGGCATGCTACCCACTCGGCCACCGTGCAGCCGTTCAGGCCGTTTTTTTCCATTTATACGTATTGGTACAACCCATCTTGTTATTGGTTATGGACTATTTTTGAGATGAGAGCGGGATAATTAACCGTTTTATGTTTAGGTTTAGGTAATAGACTAGAGTTTCCCTCTTATTACAACTCATCAGTAGTTTTAATCCGCCGTCCTGTCCGAACTTCAGAGTCCAAATGTTATTTGAGAATTGTGCATGAAGGTGAGGTCTGAATGATGATGAGTTCCAATCAATGTCATTTATCCTGCACCGCTACTCACAAGTAACTATGGGTTAAATTTGAATTATCGGATAATAATACACAAAAACCATGTCATGGTCCCTATAATTTTACCGCACCTTATTTTGATGTATTCTGTGGTAAACGAAATTACTATGTGCTTCTTGATTCTCAATATCTTTAGGTTTCAATTTTTATAAACCATATTTATTTATCGTGTACTAACACTGAGGATCATATTTTACGTGGATCGATGGATTGATACGCATGCGGTTTATTCATCTGATTCCAGGTGGATCGTACACATTTGGGGCGAGAAGAATAAGTGACAGAATTAAATCACTTCACTTGTTTTGGCCACATTGGATCGGTATTAGGGACGAAATGTTTCACAATATGATTTTTAGATACTTTCAGTTTACCGAGAGCCAAATGATAAGTAGCCTCTCTTTCACGTACTACCTTACATTAGGCGAAGAATATAAAATTCCATTATAATACTTAACCTATTATTTTATTACAATATTCAGTTTTGGTTCCAGTAGTTGCGTAACAAACTAACCAGTATTTTCGATGAACAAAACGTTGAAAAGTTTTTTTCGTTATCAGCTGACATCACCGAATTCAGCATTATTGATTTTTCTGATGGTAAATATATCATCAGATTTGTTTTACTTTATTTTTCTCAGATTTACGACAGCCAGTAATGTGATACTGCTACTAATTTTAGAATGTATACGTCATGATGCATGTTGTGTAACATACCAAACGTTGTATCGCCTTCTTAGGTCGTGCGATAATCAACCGTGCACCTTCATGCGGCTGTTTTGGTTGCTGTCCCTCAGCTGTCTGTATGGTCAAACATTGACGACAGACCATTCCAACGCGGCGTAGACAGTGATGCTCGCATATCGATAGCTTCCTTAGATGGTGTATGTCTAGTGTGAAACAACGTTAACCGAGCGAGCGCTACATCTTAATACTTCTTCCTCGTTGTGTGTAGCTAATTAATTTTTCTGAAAAAGAAACAACTTTAAGCCTGCCGTAGGCCATTTAACTTCTGCATGCATATATTTGTAATGGAACAGGGAAATTTGTTTCATAACATTCGTCTGTCTGGCTTACAATTTGACTGGAACACGTTTGTAATCAGCCATTGCATTCTGACCACATTAGTGATAACCGTCATGTACACCAGTTCCAAAAATCCTATCGCTCAAAATATTCCCATCACTCATAATCATCGTCCGGTTTCATATTCAATAATAGCTGCTGGAAATGTCAACAGCTGGAAATGATGGATTG